ATAAGAACACTTAGAACACTTTGAAGAACATATCCTTTGAATATCCAAAGAGATTCTACTCAATCCCCTCCTTATATCCAAGCAAGGCAATTGTTTTGATTGCTAAATCATTTCTTGCTTGAGTTTTTCCTCATTGCTTGAGTCTTTGAGAGATATTGCCATATTCTAAAGGACTTCATTGTATTTGCAACAATCTACTTCGTGTTGGGAGAATTACTCGGTTGCGGTTTGTTTTCTTACTTTATTGTAAGGGTTTTGTATTCTTGGTGTTGGGATTACACCAAGTGGTAGAAATCCTAACGGTTTGTGAAATCAAACGTTAGGGGGAAGAAATCCTGAGTTTTGTGAAATCAAAACTTCGGTGGTAAGATAAGAGGCTTGTGAAATCAAGTTCTCGAGTTGTATTCGGATTGTCAAACTCCGTTAAGTTTGACGGGTTAGTGAAGGCCTGGCACGATTGCTTCGGGGACTGGATGTAGGCATTTAGGCCGAACCAGTATATATCGTGTGTGCATTGCTCTTATCCTTCACTTTATTTTGTTTGTGGTGCATTGATTTTATTGAATATTCGTGAAGAACGTTTCCGCGCAAAAAACTGGTCTTTTGGGCAACACCTCTATTCACCCCCCCTCTAGAGGTGTGTGAGGCGTCTAACACATAAGACCTCCCTTGGCACCCTATCATACGCCTTCTCAAGATCAATAAACACCATATGAAGGTCCTTTTTCCTAGCCCTATACTCTTCCATTAACCTCCTCACGAGGTGAATGGCCTCTGTAGTCGATCTGCCAGGCATGAAACTAAACTGGTTCTCAGAGATGCATACCCCTTTTCGCACCCTAAACTCAATGACTCGCTCCCAAACCTTCATGGTGTGGCTAAGGAGTTTGATGCCTCTGTAATTCTCACAGCTCTGAATGTCACCTTTACCTTTAAACAAGGGGACCAAGAGACTCTCCCTCCACTCATCAGGCATCCTTGCTGTCCGAAAGATAACATTGAAGAGTTTGGTTAACCAAACCCACGCACCACGGCCCGCATGCTTCCAAAACTCCACCGGAATCTCATCTGGTCCCAAAGCTCTCCCACTACGCATCCCTCGGAGAG